CCTAGGGGGCAGTGAGTTGAAGATAATGGTGATGGAATAATTTGGAAAAGGATAGTGAGAATAGCAGTACAACTGGAAGAATGTAATCAATGTCACTGAATTGTACATGTACAAACTTTTGAAATGGTCTAACTTTGGCTATGCATATTTTCACCAAAAAAGAGGTCCTCCAAGGTCGAGGAGGGAGAGTGTTGACATGTCGTGGGGTTGTTAACCAATGTCATAAAACAATATGTGGACTGTTTAATAAGAAACTGTTTGTTCCGCAAACCTTCACCTAAAGTACAATAAAAAAGTTAAAAAAAAATACTCCTCTCTTTTCTAACTACATACCGGTATGAGGTCATATTTTCTTATAAACTTGGATCAAAACAACATATCAAGATAGATTGAATGCAGAATCAGATATGAGAATCCAGTCGCCTTCTATTAAGTCAGTCATCAAAGAGGTTTACAAAAATGTAAAACGATGCCTATCTTCTCACTTAATTCTTTTTTGGTTTGGGAAATAAAGTTATTTTCATTAAAAATATGCTATTTATGTAAACAAGGAATGTGTTTATTTCTATTATCTTTCAATGAATTAATTCTTTTGAATTTCTTGGTTTTAATTTCTGTCATGGATTGAACTGTGCCCCCCAAAAATGTGTGTAACAATTTGACTAGGCCATGATTCCCAGAATTGTGTGGCTGGCCTCCATTCTGTGATTGTAATTTTATGTTAAAGAGGATTAGAGTGGAATTGTAACACCACCCTTACTCAGGTCACATCCCTGATCCAATGTAAAGGGAGTTTCCCTGGGGTGTGGCCTGTACCACCTTTTATCTCTTGTAAGAGAAAAAGGAAAGGGAAGCAAGCAGAGAGTTGGGGGACCTCATACCATCAAGAAAGCAGTGCCAGGAGCAGAGCACGTCCTTTGGACCAGGGTCCCTGCGCCAAGAAGCTCCTAGTCCGGGGGAACACTGATGAGAAGGCCAAGAGAGAGAGAAAGCCTTCCCCTGGAGCTGACACCCTGGACTTTTAGCCTACTTTGACTGTGAGGAAATAAACTTCTCTTCGTTAAAACCATCTACTTGTGGTATTTCTGTTATAGCAGCACTGGATGACTAAGACAATTTCTAATAAGGTAAATATTGATAAATATAACCCATCTAAACAAAAGCTCTTTTGTTTAAGAACATAAAGGGATTCCAAGACCAAAAAGTTTGAGAACTGCTATCTTAGATCATTATTTCTGTTCATGAAGTTGAAAAGTAATCTACCCCATACATAGTAGTTCTACAACATGATGAAGCCATCTGGATAGTTATGACTTAGAACACAAAGTAAATGATCCATATTAGATATCAAATTCTAACGTAGTAGAAATGTTTTGAGATATCCTCCTGTTAAGGAACAATGTGCCCTTGGTGTTTATGGCAGGGTCATTAATATGATTTTAGGCACATGCCAAGTATCCAGGGGAAAAAAATCTGGTCCAGAACACAAAAACACTAATTCTATGCCAGTTCCCCCCCACCCCCACTCAAAATTCACTTCCAGTTGAACTAAGATAAGAGATAATTGAGATAATCCATTCCAAATGAGATAAGAGAAATCCAGTAAAAGATCCTCTAGGAAAGCAAATGAATTAATTTGCAGGCCTGCCTAGAGACTTGGATTTTCTCTAGAAAGTTTCGGGTTCAGTGTGAGCCCTGTTCTGTCCTGTCCCAAATGAAAAGACCACACAAAATCTCCCAAATCAAAGTGAGCTCCTCTGCTCACCAAAGGCCTGAGTCAACTAAAAAGCAGTGTTAACATTAGAAATGGCTGTGCATGCCTAAGCTAGTCTCAGAAATAGCTTGGGTTGCAAACTGTCAATCCCTAGAATGGATCTAGGGGTGGTGATAACAAAAATAAAAAATCGTGAACACTTTTTGATGTATGTTTTGATGATGTTAGTATGTGTCAACCATTGTTCTAAACATTTTATGTAGATTAATTCAATCCTCATAATCCTATGAAGTTGGTGCAGTTATCTCCATTTTGTCCTGGTATTCACTAGATGTACATTATATTATTTTGGAACTATTAAATTGTCACCCTACCTACCTTCTATTACCCTGAAAAACATGAAGGAAGCACCAATTTCTGTGAAAACTAGATCATTACTACCAACACTCACTGTGATGGTTAAGATTGAGTGTCCCCTTGGCTAGACCATGACTCTCAGTGTTTTGGTAGTTGTATAATGTTGTGGTCACTTCCTTGTTGAAATTCGATACGTGATCACCTCCATGATGCGATCTGCTGAGTGGTACCTGTGGGGGTGACGCCTGTGGTGGCTCACTACCCCCTCAGCTTCACCTCTCCGCCCTCTGCCGTCTAGTTCCTTCCTGCTTGCCTTGCTGGGGCTTTGGCTGGTTCTAGATCCTGAAGCTGGCTCCTGTTCATCTGACCTCCAGTTCTTGGGACTTGAGCTAGCAGCTTGCCTGCCAATCTTAAAAGATTCGTAGCTCTTCACAGCCGGCTACTGCTCTGCTTTCCGGCTTGCTGATTTTGGGTTCGCCAGCCCCTGTGGCTAGCAAATCAGGAGAATCCTCTTTCCTGCCCCACGGACTTGGGACGTTACAGCCTCTAAAAACTGCATGAGCCGTTTCCTTGATATAAATCTCTCTCTCTCTGCTTTACTGGTTTTGCTTCTTTAGAGAACCCAGACCAAGATACACACCATCCAAACAGCTCAATAGTTATCAGACTAGAGGTCTGACACTTTTTCCTACAACCAATTCCCCTTTCAAGATATTAGCTTCCTATTAAAAAGAAGAAGAAAAATTGACATGCTCTTTCCAATGATAAGATTTCAAAGAAAAGGAATCAAAATTAATTGAACACCCAGGGATGCTTTTGACACCTCTCAATCAAAACAAAGACACATTTCAGAAACATACCTGTTGGAGCCATCTTTCATATGGACTTTGGCGTAAAGAACATCCACCATGCCAGGATCATCGTTCATGTATTCTATCCCTGCCATCTCTGCTTCCAGGGGTTGGCCCCCACAAATGTCACTGCAAAGGAAAAAAATTAGGTTTTTATAATTGTTTAAGCTAAGAGGGCTATTATATTTTGAAACATGGTTAAAATACACAGTAAAATATTACCAAAGTGAACTTTTTAAAAAATAATTTTATCCTAATTATCCTTCTAATTTCAAAATTAATAAAGTTTCAATGCCGACAACCTAGAAAACACAGGAAGGTATTTCCAAAGTCACGCTGTATTTATCCCAATACTGGTTTATGATCACTCTCTAATAGAAAAAGTCAACGGGTGATAGTTTTGATTGACAAAGACATTTACTATGTTGTTCCTCTCTCAGGTCTTATTCCATTATTTCTAAAAGCTGCCGACAGTATTTCACTCATATACCAATGGTAAAGGTATAAAACTGGTATCACATCTTTAAGAGCAATTAGGCAATATTTATAAAAAGCCTTCAAGAACAGAAACCCTTTGCCCAAGGAACTCCATTTCTGGGAACCATGCTAAGGAAACAACTATGAATTCAGCTACATAACCAAATAGCTGATGAAGGAAATTTCTTCTTTACAGAATTCCAGCTAATAAATGCAAAACCAAAAATTAAACCTGTTGCCATCGAGTCAATTTCAACTCATAGTGACCCTATAGGACAGAGTAGAACTGCCTCATAGGGTTTCCGAGGAGCGGCTACTGGGTTTGAACTGCTGACCTTCTGGTTAGCAGCCAAGCTCTTAACCACTGTGTCACCAGGGCTCCTATAAATGTAAAAAGAATGATAAAATTAAAATATCACTATTTTTCAACCCCTACTAAAATAATGGATCTAGGCAATGATCACCAATGGCTGCTAAAACTTAGGCAAAATGCTAAGAGAAAATATAAAGGTATCTCTATAAAGGGGAGATTTATAAACGATGGATCAGGTTGACCACACCTGAACCCACAGATCAAGCTTAACATCACAAAGAGAAACAACCAGACAATATGTTCCTCCTGACATAATGCAATAGGAAGTACACAGAACCACCTATGAAGTGGTCTTGTCCAGAAACTGAACTTGAATCAGACTGAGCTTCTAGGCCTAATACAATGCAGTCAGACAAATCCAGAATGTAAGAAATCCTATATGACAAATGACCTGGTTTCTTCAACAAATAAATGGTAATGGGGAAAAAAAGAAGAAAAGAAGGAGGACTTATTGAAAATTAAGAGATTTAAGAAATGTATGAAAAAATGTAATGTGTAGATCTAGTTTGGATTCTGATTCAACAAATCAATGGTAGAAAGACAATTACAAAAATGCATAAATGACATTACTGAGACAGTTGACAACATTGGAATAGGGACTATAGATTAGATCAAAGTATTGCACTGATATAACGATACAGTGGAATATTATTCAGCAATAAAAAGAAATTAAGTGCTGATACATGCTACATACAACATAGATGAACCTTGAGAACATTATGCTAAGTCAAGGAAGATAATCACAAAGGACCACATATTGTATGATTCCATTTACAGGCAATCCCCACGTTACGAACATCCAACTTAGTACAACCCTTAATTAAAAACCAACTCCTGTAAAGCCTATTATACTAAAAATTCAAGGTAGACACTTGTTCATAATAACAAATGGGTGCTACTTTGAGACGCGCATCAAAACATTCTTATTATTGCTTTATAATTACGTTAAAGATGTTTTAGTGTATGCTGTCAGAAGAGACTCTGTGACTTGTTCTTGAGCGTGAGTAGCTAAAGTGAATGGAAGAAATGATGACATAAAAGAGATGAACAGAAGACTTCAAAGGTCAGCTCGAGAAGACAAAGTATTACAATGACATGTGCAAAGACCTGGAATTAGAAAGCCAAAAGGGAAAAATACACTAGGCATTTCTTAAGCTGAAAGAACTGAAGGAAAAATTCAAGCCTCAAATTGCAACAGTGAAGGATTCTATGTGCAAAACACTGAATGATGCAGGAAGCATCAAAAGAAGATGGAAGGAATACACAGAGTTACCGTACCAAAAAGAACTGGCTGACTTTCAGTCACTTTAGGAGGTAGCATAGGATCAAGAACCAATGATACTGAAGGAAGAAGTCCAAGTTGCACTGAAGACACTGGTGAAAAACAAGGCTCCCCGAACTGACAGAATACCAACTGAGATGTTTTGACAAACAGATGCAGTGCTGGAAGCACTCACTCTTCTAGGCCAAGAAATTTGGAAGACAGCTACCTGGCCAACTATTCCAAAGAAAGGTGATCCAAATGAATGCAGAAATTATTGAACAATATCATTAACATCACACGCAAGTAAAATTTTGCTGAAGACCGTTCAAAAGCAGTTACAGCAGTACATCGACAGAGAATTGTAAGATAATAAATCTGTGTCATTTTAAGCTGAAAAAAACAGTACTGCATTTTGATATTGCAAATTGACACTAAATTTCCTGAGAAAATCCTTGCTTCTTAGAAATGCACACTAGACACTAAAAGGTAAAGCGAGCGGCACTAAGACAAAGGCACTAGGAGGTAAAAACAAACATTAAAACCATTGAAAATCATTTATGAGGCAAATAGGGAAATCTGAACACTGACTGGTGTTCCTTTTGTAAGTGTGATAATGGTTTTGTTGATACTTTTAAAAAGAGAGCCCTTTATTTTTTAGACATATACCAAAGAAATGAAGTATTTTCAAGTGAAATTGTATTCTAGCTGGGATTGATTTTAAAATAATTCTGCAAAGAGAAAAACTGTAGGAGTATAGATGAACCAGACTGGCCATATGTTGACAATTGCTAAATCGCATGAGGTAGGTTTTCCACAATAAGAAGTTTTTTAAAAAAGTTAAACTATAACAACATCAAGAAAAGTTTCAAATAAGAGTTTACTACAGAGTCACTGTGGTATCTTTATATTAACAACAAAACAACAAAAGGAAACAATTTAAATGCCAGCAAAAGGGGAACTGTTGCAAACTGTAATTTATCCACCTGATGTACTATTACAGAGTCATTGAAAATGTAGATGCAAATTTGTTGACAGAGAAAAATGCTGACAATATGTCGTGAGACAAAAGCAAGTTCTACAACTGTATGTGGAGGTTAATCTCATTTTTGTTTGTACAAAAATACATATACACACTTCTGGGAATTTATTCCCAGATATACTCACACCCATAAGAAATAATCTGTGGACAGGGTTTTAACCAGGGTATTGTTTGGAGTAATGAAAAACTGGAAACAGACTAAATGTCCAATAACATGGGGCTGATTAAATAAACTGGAATACTATGAGCAATGAATAAGCCACATATAAGACTGGAGAAGCTTTTTAGGTACTGATACGGAATGATCATATTTTAAGTTTAAAAAAAAAGTATACAACACACAATACTGGAGAAGTCAGCACAACTCGATCAAGGCAAGGTCATGAAAGCTTCATAGATACATCCAAACTCCCTGAGGGACCGAATTACTGGGCTGAGGGCTAGGGACCATGGTCTCAGGGGCTATCTAGTTCAATTGGCATAGCATAGTTTATAAAGAAAATGTTCTACACCCTACTTTGGTGAGTAGTGTCTGGGGTCTTAAAAGCTTTCGAGTGGCCATCTAATATACTCCACTGGTCCCACCCCATCCGGAGCAAGGGAGAATGAAGAAAACCAAAGACACAAGGGAAAGATTAGTCCAAAGAACTAATGGACCACAACTACCACAGCCTCCACCAGACTGAGTCCAGTACAACTAGATGGTGCCCAGCTATCATCACCGACTGCTCTGACAGGGATCACAATAGAGGGTCCTGGACAGAGCTAGAGAAAAATGTAGAACAAAATTCAAACTCACAAAAAAAGACCAGACTGGACAGAGACTGGAGACCCCCCAACAGTATGGCGCCCGGACACCTTTTTAACTCAGTACTGAAGTCACTCCTGAGGTTCACTCTTCAGCCAAAGATCAGACAGGCCCATGAAACAAAATGAGACTAAATGGTCACACTAGACCAGGGATAAGGATGAGAAGTCAGGCGGGAACAGGAAAGCTGGTAACGGGGAACCGAAGGTCAAGAAAGGGCAAGTGTTGACATGTCATGGGGTTGGCAACCAATGTCACAAAACAATATGTGTATTAATTGTTTAATGAGAAACTAATCTGCTCTGTAGACTTTTATCTAAAGTACAAAAAAAGGAGTAACCAACAATGTGCATGCTGTTTGTGTAAAAGATGGGGGAAGAAAAACTAATATATATATATATATGTATATATACACACACACACATTTGCTTGAACATTAGTAAGTCTCTGGAAAGATACAAAGAAATTGGTAACATTTGTTGCCTCTAGAGAGGAGTGCCAGGTGGCTGGTGGGTTAACAGTTGAAGGGAAACTGCACATCCTTTGTATCTTTAAATTCTGTAAGTAAATTATACCTCAAAGGAAAAAACACATATATGCATCTAAAGATGTGTGGGAGTATATACTCCAAAATGTTAATGATAATTATCTTTAAGTGGTAGGATTACAAGTGATGTTTTATTTTTATTTATCTGCATTTTTTGGCTTTTCTAAAACTAACATGTATTACTTTTATATTAAGTAAAACCCCACCACTGTGCTTTCTTCCCAAACCCCTTAAACAGACTTGGACTGAACCAAAAAGGCCTCGTTGTGCCAAGCTGAAATCTAGCTAAAAATCAGCTCACCGCATACAGCCTTCATGACGGCATGGGCTCTATCCATCTTGTCCACGCCGATATCCTCAGAACCTGGCATGATGACTTATATATAAAGCGTGCTCAATAAATCTCTGGTAAACACTGAATGGATGTTCTCCTATTAAAGGAGAAGCCGTTCTGGACAATTTTGAGAGAATGTGGTCATACTCCCACATTGTCATTGAATAAAATGTGGTACTGGTTCAAAGACAAAAGGACTTCAGGAGGATCCATCGAAAGACAATTCTAAAAAACAACAACAAAAGTTCTCCTTGATATTGAACCTAGGATCTTTGTACCCTAGGAAT